GAGAGAGAGAGAGAGAGAGAGAGAGAGAGAGAGAGAGAGAGAGAGAGAAAGAGAGAGAGAGAGAGAGAGAGAGAGAGAGAGAGAGAGAGAGAGAGAGGGAGAGAGAGAGAGAGAGAGAGAGAGAGAGAGAGAGAGAGAGAGAGAGAGAGAGAGAGAGAGAGAGAGAGAGAGAGAGAGAGAGAGAGAGAGAGAGAGAGAGAGAGAGAGAGAGAGAGAGAGAGAGAGAGAGAGAGAGAGAGAGAGAGAGAGAGAGGAGAGAGAGAGAGAGAGAGAGAGAGAGAGAGAGAGAGAGAGAGAGAGAGAGAGAGAGAGAGAGAGAGAGAGAGAGAGAGAGAGAGAGAGAGAGAGAGAGAGAGAGAGAGAGAGAGAGAGAGAGAGAGAGAGAGAGAGAGAGAGAGAGAGAGAGAGAGAGAGAGAGAGAGAGAGAGAGAGAGAGAGAGAGAGAGAGAGAGAGAGAGAGAGAGAGAGAGAGAGAGAGAGAGAGAGAGAGAGAGGGAGAGAGAGAGAGAGAGAGAGAGAGAGAGAGAGAGAGAGAGAGAGAGAGAGAGAGAGAGAGAGAGAGAGAGAGAGAGAGAGAGAGAGAGAGTGGGTGGGAGGGAGGAGGGAGGGAGGAGGAGGAGGGAGGGAGGGAGAGAGAGAGGCATTTAAAACTCAACCCAAAGAAGAATCACAAGTTAATCTAGAAATAAGAAATCCGAAGTCATTTCTCCCTAATGAGTTCCCCCTCAACTTTCCTTGTAAAAATTTTGTTGGTAGTTTTATGTGGTAGATATGTTGCATTACTTACCTTACAGCAGGTGTTGACCAATCTCCTGAAGGCAAGCGTCCTCCTTTTTAATTGTTTCGTGCGACTTTCCGAAGTGTTTCTGGAGCAATACTGGCGACGGCTCTTCAATATTGTGTTTCAGTTCCTCTATACGTCTTGGATTATTGGAATACACTCTTTCTTTGAGACATCCCCAGACAAAGAAGTCGGGTGGTGTGAGGTCTGGAGATCGAGGTGGGCCAAGTCCACGACCAACCAGAGAACTTTGTACGAAAGCAGTTGTTGTGTTAACAAGAAATGAATTGGTTAAAAGATTGTGATAACGTTCCGCTTTAATTATATCCTCAAAGAAAAGTTGGTCCCCACACTGTGCACCACACACCAATCAAGTGGAACCAGACCTCATCCCCTCAAAATTGTCCAACTTCACGCACGAAATGACGAAACCAATGACAATGTTGTTTTCTTGCAGCATTATCCTGTATTTTCAGCTATTGCACTGCTTGAATTAGGCATGACTGTAATTTCAGCATTTTTGTCGTTCGGTGAAAACTTGTTGGGGATAATCCACTTTGCTGGGATAATTTTCACAAATATTTCTGTGGTGATCGCTGCAGTGTTTCATCAACGGTGAGCAGAGCGCCATCTGTCAAAACTGATCGGCGTCGGGCATGTTTCACAAACACTTCCTGTGTCTCAAAATTTTTGTTTTATTTGGCACTTGTCTCTCAGGATAAACATTAGTGATTGCTTCACACACAACCGGAAACGATTTGGATGCAAAGTAATATTCGATAATGACTACACATTCAGCCTGTGAATACACCATCTTCTCACCCTGATTGCTTTTGCTCAACTGAAGTCGAACCTATAACTGTATTTATTACGGAGAAAGTTGGGAGAGTTCATTACACAAAACTGGGGGAGGATATGTCTTCTGATTTCGATTTGTATATTAATTTGTGAGTGTTGTTGCGTTGCGTTTTAAATGGTACACGCTGTATGTTACGTTGTCAGCCAGAATATCTTGTTGTTTACTTGACACCTCTCCCAATATTTACAGAAATTTACAGAATTAGAAACGTTCTATGGCCCTGTCAAGTCCTCCAATCAATATTTTGTAAAATCTTTACAGAAATTCACAGGATTTGTAGCGATTGCGGTCTAAGGCAATGGTCCTGGGTTGACATTCATTTACAATATTTACAAGAGTTCGGTTGCTCTTTCAGGTCCAAAAGTGATAACATAAGAATGACTTAAAAATAATTTACATTTAAAAACGTGTGTTGCTTCATCTCGTTCGCTAGTCGATGTTTTAACGTGTAAATAATTTCAGACACAATAAATTATTATTTTGTTTTTAATATATATGTATATATATATATACGGTCATTAATGTTCTCATTATTAATTTAGTTGTGTATCTTATTTACCATTGTATGTGTACATGTATGTATGTATGTATGTATGTATTTCATGTATGTATGTATATATGTATGTATTTATGTATGTTGCTTAAGGCTACAAGATAGATAGATAGATAGATAGATAGATAGATAGATAGATAGATAGATAGATATATTCAATTTTGTCTTTCTTCTCCCCATCCAGGCGCCACGCTGGGGGGTGTGAGGGTTGCCCCGTCACTTCTGATTCACGCCCACACGCCCACACCAAGCCCACAGTCAGGCCCACACATGCAACTCTACATTGGATACCCCCAGCGCCCCCAGACTACCCCCGAAGACCCGAAGGAGGAGGAAGAGAAGGGGGCCGTCTGGGGGTACCATCTCGAGCCCCCAGTGAAGGCATGCTGGGGTCCGATACGTCGCTTCTCTGGGGGGACTCGACTATAAGAGGAACTCCAACAGAAACTCAAACTAAAAACACAGTGACTCTCCTGAGGCAGGTGAGGGAGGCCAGAGAAACACACGCCACGAGAAGAACCCCTTTGGTCATCTCGTCACCCAAGAGTTCTAACACCGCCCCGAGCAGCAGTGTGCTCCAGGCCACGCCCACCTCCCCTGTCACACCCCCGTCATATCGTCCACCTGGTCCCAAGTCACCCACTTCCTGGGTGCCCGGAACGCCCGTCACACAGGCCAGGGATGGGTCAACCACCACGTCCTCCTCACCGCCGTTCAAGATGACATCCACTTCAGGGACGATCCTCACCAGATCCCAAATGACGACGTCACAGGAACTCAAGTCGTGGGCGTTGTTGACAAGTGTGACGCCGGAGGTACCCGTCACTCCTTCGGCGTCTCCGTCACCAGCGGGAACAACTCGATCAACGCCCCTGATATCCGGAGACAGACACATTGACGCCTTACACGGCAGTTTCTCCGACGGCAGTGAAAGGCGCATTGGGATCCTCTCACGTACCTTCCCTGGCAGGAGGCGTCAGGCGTGAGTGGGGTGATGGTAGTGTAGGCCTCGCCTCCTTGACACGCCTCCACAACAACACACGCACTATACCTCGCCTGGTGCAGGTGGTCACCTCCCGCACCGTCAACTCACAGCTTGCTAGAATATGGAGCGCGGGTGAGGGGGAGCAGTGGATAGCAGGCGCTCACACCATAGGCCAGGGGGACGTGCCTCCTTGGTCATGGATGAAAGGCAGAAGGAGACGACGGAAACTCCTGCGTGAGGAGGCAACAGTAGCCACACTCCTCCCGTCACCGCTCATCAACACCAGGGCGCCTGAAGAAACATCCTTGACACATTCTAACTCCGACCACCTGGCGGGGTCAAGCACAGAAACAAGTCCTTCTCACGTATCAGAGAGATCAAAATTGCAAAGTTTACACACTGGTGTTGATGAGAGGCAACAAGGACAACCCAGACAAGATGGCAGAATAATCATGAATATCACTCCAGCTGTTCCACCAGACTACAATCTGCTAAATGACGCTCTGTCAGGCGAAGTGAACATGGCTGTCAGACAGAGAAAAGGCCCAATAGACTTTAGGATCACCAAAACTGGCGACTTTGGTGGCTTCAGTGTCACAAAAACTGAGGAAGTTGACCCCATCTCGGGGTTCAGCGTGACAAAACATGAAGGTCCAGACTCAGTGGTCGGGTTCGGTCCTGTGGAAGACCCGCCGAGGCGAGACCTCCCAAGGCAAGTAATTGTGGCTAACAAGTCTGTTTCAGAGAAAGAGGGACTTACATCAAAGCAAGAGCAGCTGCTCAACACGCCTCGCCAAACACCAGAGACGCCTTTGACGGCCAGAGGACGTCTGGAGGAGGATGGAGGGGGAGGTGATGACCAGGTCACGACTGTAACCGACACCTCGCGGTACAGAAGCTCGTTTCAGACTTTTCACGCCTCAGATGACAATCCCTCGGCAGCGTCTGCGCCTTCCGCCACGCCTTTTGCTCCTACTGGAGATGCTCAAGAGAAGTATGTAACTCACCAATCCCCTAAGACGGAGGCCAAAATGATCTTAGACAGAACAACCAACTCAAAGATATCCACCTCGATCCAGTCTTCTATGATGACTCATGGATCACATCCTCATACCTTGGACGACACTTACTCACAGGAACTCTCACAGATCAAATTAATGACGAAGCCAACGAAAGTCTTCCCCGTGGCGTTTGAGGATACTGGGTTAGTTTCTCCTGCAGGAGGTCACGAGGGGTCACAAGCGACGACCCTGTCCAGCATATTCAACGAGGACTCCATCCCCCCACTGCCCAACCAGTGGGGGACACCCTGGAAGTCTAGAGGCTTACAGCGCACCGCCGCCCACAACATCCCAGACAAAGAGACACAGCAACATGGTTCTCCCCAGTTCAAAATTAACTCAGATCCCACAATTTTTCCTTTCCATTTACCGTCGCAAATCAAGAGTCAAGAGGAAGGTGGCCGGGTCGGAGGGGTTAGTAGGGGCAGCGAGGCGCACGACGCTGCCTCCTCCACCGGCAAGATGAGATATATCGGCGGCGACGAGTCGTGGAAGGGAGGGCCCCAGCCCCTGGTGCAGCAGGGAGCGACGCATCTCGCGGTGACAGGGACGAGAGCAGGCCCTAAGAACCCCACGGCGGTTGGTGCGCCTCCCGTGGTTAACGACCACCATATAGTGAAAAACGACAGAACAGCGGCAGGAGAAAGACAAATGGTGGAGGTCCGTCATGCTCTGGGTAAAGCTGACTTGGAGGGGGTCCTCGGCGGGACCTGGGGAGGGGTTGAGTTCGTGACGGTGGGTCACTGGGACGTGTGGGGAGGACCACCCCTCTGGGACTCACTCGCCTCCCGCACTAACAGGAGCCCCCAGGTGTACTCAGTGTATTGGGGGATACTGGGGGCCCTGGTTCCCCCGCAGGCTGGCCAGAAGGTGTGTGGGTTATCCGTGGAGGGTCCCTGGCGGCCATCATGGCCCTGGTGGTAACTATATCTGTCCAGGTAGCTCGAGATGGCCCCGCCCATCGCGCTACGCCCACAGCTGACGCCCTGCACCGCGCCCACCACGCTCAGCACGCCACCCTGGCCACCAACCTGGCAACATCTCTAGCCTCTGGTCACGTTCTCCTTATCTTCGGCATACAG